TCCGTTTATTTCAGGTACGGTATTTTTTTTTCTCGATTTTTTTATAATTTCATACGCTATTATTATGTTTTCGGTACGTGTAATTTCGTTACGTGCCGGTAAATTCTCGCAGTTTTGCGGCGGTCACGGTCGACGGGGTGAGGTTTGGGAGGGATGCGAATGGGGGTGTGAGCGTGTGAGGGCGAGTGGACGCGATTGATTGATATTTCGGACACACGCAGAGGGTGGTTTTTTTTTTGTAATGCCATTTTTATTTAATACGTACGCGCGTGGCATGGCAGCGACACGTTTTGCCGTCGGACGGTCGTGTTGCACATTACAACATGCATGATTTGCCGCCGACGTGCTGTCCAGCAACCGTCTCGGTCGGTCTTGGTGATGAGTCCTTTGGACGGGACCTTTGCAGCGGACACCTGACGATGAGTGTTATTATCGATGGCGGCGATCACAACAATAATGACAATAACAATTGTAACACAATATTATCGTAACACGACGTTACGTCTCACGATAGTCGGCGACATCGTTAAAATATAATAATAATTGTATCAGACAACAACGAAAAAAAAACTCAATTATTAATTTTCATTTGAAATGCCCGTCGCCGCCGACAGCGAGTACGACGGCGTCGTGCATGTGATCACCGATAACCGATATCTGCGCGACTATCACAGGTCTGCGGAGGAGCAACAGCAGCAGCTGCAGTCCGTAGGAGTCGTCGCCGGAAACGCCGCAGCCGGACCGGAAGTACATCAGCCCGATCGCCCCATGGCGCCGCCGGCCCTGCAACAGCCGCAGCTCCAGCAGCAGTCCAACGGCGGCGATGCAGCTTTCGTCTCGGTGTCGTCTCGGAAGTACAGGTAGGTACTATTGCGCGATGGACGACCTGCAACTCACCTTGACACGCATGAAAATCCACTGTTTTTTAGGCAATTAGCGTCTGATTTTGCACACATCATTCGAGATCCCGATCTTAAGATTATCATAATATATAATAGAAGCCCCGGATAACAGCAATAATTACATGATATTAAAGACAATACACAGGCTAAGGCGCGTGTAATCAAATAATATTCGACGGTTAGGTTGAGGTTTCGATTGTAGGTCGAACCAGTTATTTTAGTTATTGATAATACATGCCAACAATTTGATTAAAATCAAAACCACAACGAATTCGTTCATTTCGCTTTTGCAATTGGTTCACGTAGAAAAAAATGTAATCAGTTATTACCAGAGTTCGGGACTTGTTGCATTTGCATATTGTTTAATAATAAAGAAGTTTAAGAATAGTCTAAGTAAGATATAAGTTTGTTTAAAATCATGACGGATTGACGTACAAAAATTTTAATTGCATATTCTCTCGTATTTCACCGTTTACCGAGCTAATCGATTATTTGACCAATTTTAACAGTTTATTCATAGTATATTTACGCAGTTTTCGATTTATTTAAGTACATTTATTTTAAAGGTTAACATTATTATTTTTTAATACTTTATTCATACGTCGGTCAATCAACCGAATCAGAGAACGAGTCAGGACTGGGCAACTACGGAAATACCTAATTGTTCCTGCGTATAGGTACTATCGATAATCGACTTATCGTTTATAGTGTAATTGTTGTCAAAAAATAACTAATTTAAAAAAAATTGTTTAAATTAAAATGAAGAAATTAAACTTTTTAATTACCATTAACAAAATTATCCAGTTGCATATTTCGATTATTTTAAGTGCATTTATGTGCATGCATATTTCCTACAATTTGTGTGCAATAAGTCCCGAACTCTGAATTAATTATTCTACACACGAGTAAAGCGATGGGATGAACATTAGACGAGTTTTGAAATCTCATCGCGGTCGAGATGATTTTTTCGGTACAGACCGCTGCGGGGCTTAAGGGAGGTAAAATATTATATTGTTACGATATTACTATGAAATACAAACAATGGATAGAGATTGTCTCGAAAATATAGAAAACGAATTTTAATGTTGTGAAACGTTTCGAATTTCTACCACATCGTATATTATTGACAGCAGCATTTTTACTAAGGTTTTGTTAGTTGATAATAGTTTTATAAAATATCAATAAGTATCGTTGGATTCGTTTTATTGTTTTTTGATTTTAAGAGTTGAAAAACAAAATGTTTTTTCTTCCGTTGTTAATCATTTTTATGAAATTTATCAAATTAATATCAATCTTGAGTGAGAGTCCCGAATTTGATTTTACCATACGTTTTCTATTTAATCAATTGATACGATACTGACAAAATGGCATACAGTGTAATGAATTATTGGATGATTCAGTTTTATTCATTAAAAATTTTTCCCAGTCTAGTAGATTTAACTGAATAGGTAAACGTTTTAAAATTGTGCTTTAATGACGACCGAGAGAGGCTAGCGCCACCACCTGTTCAAACATTTACATTTTATTTTTACAAGCAATTAGCATGCAATCAGCATGCATTTGCCAAAATTTGCATGGAAAAAAAATGAAAAATTGTTGAGTGGGTGGCACTGGCGAGATGGTCGTATTATAGTGCCATAATCGGGGGACTATGAGTTCATAAGGCTGTGTAGTATTTTAAGTGTTTTGCAACATCCAAAAATATTATATTGAAAACAGCGTACAATTTTTGCGAACGTTTCAATATTTTATTTTTATTTAGTCGTATAACTATTATTATAGCGATGACCGTTAACGAATTTTTCGTCCGTTTTTTAAACGTTTATTTAAAATAATTAATGTCAAACGATAGTTTTTTAATTATTTGTTTATCAGCATTTACAGACGTGCACACCGTTGTAGTGGAGTAGGGGTAATATTTGAATACAAATTCCCGACGCCTCGCCTGTATAATATGTAAACGGGAACAATTTAAACGGTTCTTATCTCTGTCGTGCATATAACTGCTGCAGTAATGACGAGAGAATTAATATCGAATTTAATTTGAAAACATATCGCTATGCGCACATATTGCGCTATAAAACTTTACGAGTAACAAAACAAAATATTATAACTTATTAATTCTTGGACGAAAAATGTAAATACATTTAGACATTCAGTCGTGAAAATGACATTCTATTAGTTTAATCGACAATGAATATTAGAATGGTCATAATAATTATATAATACGATCGTCAACAGCAAATCAATATCAAACAATAACTATTACGAGCTGTTGTTTTTCAACTCGCCAAGTCGAAACGATTCGTAAATCGCTTTCCAAAGTCCAAATAAATAACTATTAATTGAATAATATTTAAAACAAGTACGCGTCCGTATACATTTCGGGAACAATCGTGTTATTTAAAATAATATAATATTTTAATATTTTATGATGATCTCGTCGTTATACAGGCTGATTTTTTTTTTTTTTGTCGTCGGCAGTATATAATACCTTACCATCAAATGTAATAATATATATTAGGACATATAACACCCATATTGAGAGATTACACGAAATGTTGGGAAAAAATATTAACATGACAGTTTAAAATATTTGAATAATTTTTATGATTTTACGGATATGCGTTTGCACCTACCGATTTGAGAGGGGCTTAATAATGTTTACCGGAAACAATAATATTCATTATAATATGAGGAAACAGTGAAACTCATCGAGCATGCATTCGTTCGTGCTACTTACCTAGACATTTGGAAAAATGTCCAAGTTGATTATCAGAGAAGATATTTGTTGCAGTAACTGCAGGCCACTGGGTGTGTACCAGGCACGCTTGCCGCCCTTTCCCTTTAATAGTGAATTTTTTCGAATTATGATTTTTGGAATAATATTCAACTCTAAAGTTGACCTTCACTTAAAGACAATATTTTTGTTTTTTTAAATACATATATTTTTCCAGGCATCTAAGGAGTGTCCGGCAGTGATACAATTGCCTTTTATTCCAAACAGATCAAATACAATTTACAATAAATGTATAAAATAAAATATAATTTTTTTTTTTAAAGAAAATTGTAATATCGAATGATTAGTTTCTGTATTATTGAACTTTACGTAGTAAAGATAATAGTTTTCATGATAATGTGAAAATTATAGTAATTGATAATGATGAATTAACATTTTATGGTCTGTGATTACAATTTTCTCGAGCTTAATGACTTTATAGTTTTAGGTTCTAAACAAAATATTACATCTACAACCGTCGAGTCTCTATAACTCGATCTCAATATAAATCAATTCGAATTATGTATTCTTCTAGTTGTGTGCCTCAAACACGACATGGTTATCGAGACTCGACTGTATTTTATATTTGTTGTAATACCACAATTGTGTAGGGTGACAATATTACTGTCCTCCGGGCATCGTAAGTATGTATTGAGTTTAATGAATCCGGAAACTATTTCGATTTGCACTCTTAAAAATTGTGGAAAATGTCAACGGCAACAATCTACAAGAAAAAAAATTATGGTTGTTATTTGAAAAATCGATGTTTGTTCAGACCCCTGCTGCAGGAGACCCGTTTAAATGGAATATAAAATCTAATTTTATTATTACTAAACAGGTACTGCGAAAATTGCGATCAAAATCTGTTTGGCTGCATTGTTTAAGGACAAAAGTGCAGAGGGGGGGGGGGGTGAGCATGCTCGGTCGGTTGTTATTTACTACATAATACGTATAACACACGAGTTATTATTATCGGTTTTTTGTCGATAGAGAAATAATTCAGTTAATTGATATTATAATGACGCGCAGGAGATTATCGTAGTCATAATGTCAAACACGAAATGAGTTAATTTTCATACCGAATATAATATTGTAATATCATAATTGATCGACACTATAATGATTAGGTCGTGTGGAAAAAAATCAATCGTTTCTTTTCTCCGATACCGCTCTCGCATTCAGTTGTAAATATAATCGCCTCGCACCTTATTAGTATCGTAATATTTTCTCAATTTTTTTTTTCGGCCGTCAATCGCGGACGTTTAGTTTTGGCGGACGAGACTATTTTTTCCCACCCTCCTCGATAAGACCTTAACCAGATGCATCTGTTCGACAGGAAACTCCAAGACGTGTTGGGCGGCAGAAGCCTTCTGGAAAAATGGATAATTATCGTCGTCGTCGTGCTGTGCGGTGCCGGTTTGATGCTGACGGTCGTGACAATTTTCGGAGGCAAGTCCAAAACCGGAAACGCCCCGATCGGAACTCATCGATCGGTGCACATAATATTTTAATAATAATATACTTATCATAGCCCGTCGCGTGATGACAGTAATAATAATTAGAGCAATGAATTCGTAGAAAAAAAAAAAGCTATTGTTTTTATCTTACCGTAAGACGTATAGATTCCAAAATGTCAATTAGTTACCGGCGAATATAATTTTAATAAATTTTAAGTATTTTGCAATTTTTAATTCAAAGGTCTTGTTTTGGCCTTTTCCGTCATTTTCCCATGGATTCTTTCTTTTCGTTTCGAACATTTTTTTAATCGTTTAACTTTCTCATGAATATTTTACGACCTCTGTGTGCACAGCACACTTGATTGATAATATATTTGATTTAAAACAGATTACACTTGACAGATTTTTATATACTTTTTAGAACTATTATTCATATTAGTATACTTATGAATGCACTATTCGTGAGATTTTAAGATGCGTTTAAGTTCACCCAATTCACAGCCCTAATTATTATAGTATAGTGCAGTTGACAATAGCCGTAGGCACATGTGGCAATTAAATGGTTTCGTCATTGTTTTAGGCATGGGTGTCAAGAATAAGATATGCAAGAGCGACGAGTGCCTAATATCAGGTTTGCATTATCTACATATTAACTAAAGTACCTATACAATATTATCGTATCGCTGAAAACAGTGTTACGAACAGCTCAACTGGTGTTAAGTCCCGACATTTTGTTTGGGCTGAGAAAAAGTAGTTAGGTCCGCGAGTTATGGGTTTTGTGCCATGTGATATATCAGTCCGGAAACAACGTGTCCCGAAACGATAACTGCAATTACTATAGGTGCTCGAGCCCCGAAGTTATGCCCTCCCCCTCCCACCATTCATTCGTTTTGTACGATAATAATTCGAGTCGTTCGTGTTTTAAATATACCTTCGATAATATTTTATGGTTTTTTTTTTGTTTTTTTTTTTGCAATTAATACGGTCGTTGTCGTGCACGATGAAAATTCGCAGCCGAGTCCATATCGAGGTCGATTAACGCGAACGTTGAACCTTGCGACAACTTTTACGAATTCGCGTGCGGAAAATGGCAGTACAGCCATCAGCTTGAATACGGCAAACCCAACAATTGGTTTGCCGAGAGATCGAGAGTCATTTCTGCAGCGGTGACGAGTGAGTATTATAATAATAATTATAATAAAAACACAGAAAATAATAACATTACGTACGCGGCACGATCCATATTGTTATTATTATTATTATTATTATTATTATTGTTGTTGCGACGACGATACATTACAATATTAAGTGGGCGTATAATAAAATGTAATAATAACCGTGTCGGCAAATTTAGGGGTAGGAATCGAAATCGTAGATAAGCCTCGCGGGCACCGAGCTGTGGTCGTGCCGAAAAATATTTTTCCTTTCACTACGATATTATAATATTCCACAAAACTGAATTTTACATACTATTATGTTTTGTGAAAGATCAGTTTCCTGTTTTTTTAGATCCAGTGAATGGTATTATTTTTTAGATTCGGGAGTAATTGTAAGTGGTTAGTTGTGATTTTTCCTAGTTTTTTAAAAAATTATTTTCAAAAACTTCAAAGAATCTCGTTGTCCATAATCCGATACCTGTCGATGTCCCGATAACAGTTTTTTTTTATAAATTTCTTTTTCGTAAATCGTGATTCAACTGTAATGAATGGGCTCGGTCGAGTCATAGTAGTTGTTAAGAGGACGCTACCCATGCATTTATTGTCTCCGTCTTACACACGTACGGCACAGAACATTTTCGTTTACTGTTTCAATAGTGTGCTGTTAGTTTTGATATTAGAGTGGATTGACTTATTATCAAAGTATTGGATAAGAACATATTATCTATGCTTGAGCGTCGGTAGATTTTTGGATATTTTATTAATTTTCACGCGAGATACGAGCATTTTTGATTTGTGTTATTTCACATACTCGTATCTTGCTTGAAAATGAAAATATCGAAAACGCTTAAGCATAGACAATGTTCTTACCTAAATGTTTGATACTACTGAAACTCGCTCTAATATCAAAACTAACGGCACACTATTCAAACTAGTCAACGAAAATTTACCATGTCGTAAGTTGGTAAGACGGAGACAACAAGCGTGTGGGTAGCATCCTGTTAATCTAAAGTGCAAACGAACACGTGATAATAATGCTAGTGATGCCATTGGTCTGATATAAATTGAAAACGAAAATATATCGTACTAAGTTTATTTAAATACAATTATAATATGATGTCGTCAAACGAATTATTTCGATTTGAATCGTTTACACGAATTACAATAATTATACTAAGTCGTAAAAAAACGATATGTATGTAGCATAAACAATATTATTATGCGTCATATATGATACGATTTCGTATGATATAATGTATATGATGTCTCTGTGGCTAATTTTTGTTATAACTGTTTTCACATTTTTATATTATAATATATAACCAAGTTGATAACGCATTCGTTAACTATTATTATTATTACTAATGTATTTTAATCTAATTATTCTATATAGGTACCAATTTATTGTGTTCCTATTGGTCTCAGCCCGTAAATCTCAAATAAATACATATTCAAAAACAACTAACTACCTTTCATACGCCTTCCAACCCAATCGTCGTTAATCGTTATAATATGTTAATCATTATATTTTCTACCGTTTTTGTTCCGTCGTTATAATCGTCGTGCCTGTGTTGAGCAGACAATAATATTACACAATGCTTCAAATAACCTTTTTTTTTTGTTTCAGAGATCTTAGAAGAACCGGACCGTGAAAACGATCTGAAGTCGATAAAACAAGCTAGACGTCTTTATAGGACTTGTCTGGATACAGGTAAGGGAAATATAATATTTCATTGTCTGAACCCCAGCGCAGTGAGAGCAGGAATCGTCCCCCTTCCAGGTTGATAAATGTAAAATGTGCGATGAGTATTACGGCGGCGTCTCCAAACGTTCGGAGGGTAGCAGCGATTTATTTGACAAGTAATATTTATGATAAAAAAAAAAAAAAAATAAAATTAAATACTGCTCATAAAAGCGTAAAATATTATATTATTATTGCGTATAAAAGGCGGCACCGCCGCCGCCGCCGTTTTGGGATCGTATTCTTTTGGTCTTCGACTTTATATCTAGTGCTATTTAATTATTAACGTCCTCTTGGTACCAAGCACGGGTTCTAAGTGCAGTAGCGGAGGTACTCAATCCACCCAAAGTCCGCTAAAAACTGTCTAGAGAGGAAAAAAATTAATAATAACGAATGTACGGGGTGTGAAACAAAATATAAAAAATGAAACACTCGAGAAAAGTATTTTTCGAAGTCACCTAAAAACCAGCATAATAAAAATAATAATAATAATAATAATAATAATAATAATAAACATTTCGATACGAACCGAGAGGGCACCCACGCCACGAGAGTGAGAGTGGGTGAGTGACGGTTGGACACGCTTTACGGGGTAGAGGCGTTGTTATAATATCAGACGTCTCGTTTATTTTAATCTGTAAAACATAACGATTTCGTTGCCGCAGTAGAAATATCATATATTTTATTATTAGCAATTTATTTTTTACTCCGCTCAGTAATAAAATGTAAAAATATTATATTATCATATTACAACAAAAATATAAGCATCATATTATAGTAACGACCAATTATCGTAATATTAATAGATAAATAACAATATAATATATTGATATTATTATTACACAGTGACGAATAATGCCTTAACACAATCTATGGTCTTTGATTGCTAGATACATCTTATGAAATATTTGTGTAAATATAATTAATGTTCTTTAATGACGAAAATCGTATTTACAGAGCTTAAGAATTCCTCGTTTTCTTAACTTGTCAAACACGACCCGTAAAAACAGCTTTAGGTCGATTTCACGTATTGCAGGACCGGAGAAATACAATTTCGCGCGATCCGTCGCTCGCTGTGCAGGTCTTTCGTGATCGTACGAATAAAGGAATGTTTGGTTATTTTATATTTCATTTTTCTGCAACTCGACAGTTTCCGATTACATAATATAATATAAAACAGGAAAATCAAAAAGAGTAAAATTATGTGAATTAAAATGAATCGCAATTCGATGGACTAATGCAGTGTCACCCCGACTCTTTCACGATGTCCATCCGTTCTAGGTCTGTGTGTGTGTGAGGGGGGAGGGGGGAAGGGGGAGAGTAATGTCGTACGATATGCACTTTTTTAGCCGTATGCTCCTACCTCCAGTCCAATGACCAAAATACCACGAATCGACCTGTTTCAATTTGCCAGTTTGGTACTCAAATGTTGAGAGATTTATTTCACTGTTATATTCCTAATCCTCAACGACCACAAGCTAATCGGTTTCAGATCATATTGAAGTAAATAGTGAAATAGAATTAAAACGGACAATATAACAAAATGAAAATCCTTTCCAGAAACAAACACATAAAAATTAAGACATTAAAAAATAACATCTCATCATATCGTACTGCGATCGGACTTCCTATAATACTTTAATTTATGATGCCTTAAGTATGGTTTAAGATTAGTTGCCTCAGCTCATATTTTGCTCCACTGGTCTATACATTATAAATACTGTCATTTAGACATATATCTGTTTCTATTCATATTTGTCTATATTTTGCGTTATCGGTGCAGGTCGCAGACGGCAGTAGTAGAGAAAATATATATACCGATCGATGGTAAACACTGTTGTAAAAGTATTCAGATACAGACGCTTATTTTGAAAAGTATGTTTTTTTCACCTTATAAATCAACAGAACCAAAGTTCATGTTTTAAATTAATCTTTTAGAACATATTTTCACAACTTATCTATTTTCTTTCTTCGAAGAGTTACAATGTTCGGTTAAACAAATAAAAAAATTCTTAATTTAATTTAAGAATTTAAAATAAAAATAAAAAATAATATAGTAACCAAAACGAATATGATTTGATTTATATACCCAGATACTTTGAAAAAGTATTTAAAATACTTTGTCCGCGTATTTGAATACTTTTGCTCACAAGTACTTTACAAGACCTTTTAATATCATAATATAACGACCGATATTTGCACTTTCGATTTTATCTGATATGATACAATATAATGTATGCGTGTGTTTGGTTGTCGCCCGCAGACACATTAAACAAATTGGGATACGAACCGGTCTTCAAGTTCCTGGAGAAGATGGGACTTCCGCGGATGTTTCCGGATTTTACGACCAGCACATACCCCAACGGGACAGTGTTCAACGTGGCCAGGAGCCTGGCGCTGATGGAGAGGTACCTTGGAGTCGATCTCATGTTGCAGATATCCTTGGAACTGAACCCGAAAAATAACCGAACGATCCTCAGTGTAAATATAAACACGGAAGTATATTACAATAGTGTAGAAATTATGCCTTAAAACAATTAACTAACCTGCTAATAAGGCTATAAAACGTTATAATAGTAATAATAACAATATACATGGTGTTCACGTCGTGTCGAGCCAAAAATCGTGCACACGACATTAAACAGCAGTGATTCTGCATAACAGTACAACACACTATGTTTTTATGTTTTTCAACAGGTAAGTCGTGTCAATAAAATATGGGAAAAAACAAGCTGAGTTGAGAGTTATTATTATTTTTTTTTTTTGATTCCCAAAACGTCGGTATGACATATTATTACCTACAAAAATCTAAGAAACAATAGAGGCGATGTCAGCGCCAAGGCTGGGCATTAACACGTTAATAAGTTAAAGTTAAGTTAATTTAACTTAAAAAGTTATTTTTTTTTATGTTTATTAACTTAATTAATAACTTTAGGAGCATTTAAATTAACTTTTAATTAACTTGAGTTAATTTTACATTTAAACAAGTTAAGTTAATTTTAATTTTAAATATTATGTAATGTGTTTTCAATTTTTTTAATTCATGTAAAATTGAAATACCTATATTATGAAATTACGAATATTATCAATGCCTGTTATTTTGCCATCGTCGCCAGTTGGTGGTTATAACTTATAGCTACAGATATTCCTATGAATTATTATAAACTATTTTGGTAATATTATATTTGTTTTATACATTATTATTATTATATTACACTTATTATTAAGAATTAATATCTATATAGAAGATAACGCTAAAAGGACTAGACTGTTATGTGGTAGTAGTGTAATACCCCGTTTATTTTTGTATAATTTATTATTAGTTCTACGTTTTCGTCGATTTCACCGAAATCTAGAATTCCCGCATGGACGCCTAGTGACTAGTGGTTCAGTAACAAATAAAATACAAAATCAATGGGTTCATAAAGATTGTCGGAAAATTGGTAAGGTCGTTAAAAACCAGGGTATCTTACATTATAAAAAAAAAATCATTAAGTTTCAACACGATAGATGCTCGTAAGTACTGCATGATATTTTAGGGAAGTATTAACCTAATCTACAACGACAAATAGCAATGTTGGTGATGAGTATTGATGAAAAAAAATATTGTATGGGTTTAGTTAAAAAAATAATAAAGTTCATTACAGACTTCATCAAACTATTAATAGTAACTTAAATGAAGAAATCACAATGGATATTTTTTTAAACACCATAGGAAAACTTACTATTGTTTTCTTTTATAAATTTATAGTTATAACTTATATTATTATGAATTTTGGACACGATGGGTTAGAGCACCATAATATTACCACATAGTGGGAACAAAACGCGTCGTCACGTCTGAAGTCTGAAAACTGCGAGAAAAAAATCATTTCATTATATAACGTTACCTATATGACAAATCGTGTCGAATGGCCAATGCGGTTTATTTAGTTTCGGCTTTATCGCTCGATTTTTGGTTTCCCCTGAATATTTTTATCCTTGTCCGCAGACTGGGCCCATGACGAACATTATACCAGCATTGCCTGAACCACTGTTCGACTACCACCGCAACCGAGACGGTAGCCAGAGACCTTATCAAGACTTCACCTCCGAACAAGAGGCCGCCACCTCTCGATTGGTGATGGCGAAAGTCCAGTACATGGTGAGGGTCATATCGAGTATGTTCCCCGACGAATTTTTCAACGCCACTTCGCTGACCACTTTTTGCGTCAAAATCATCATTCTCGAAGTGACATTAAAAGTAAAGTTATTAATTTATTATTATTTTAATAGAACTTTCGATATATTATGTATTATAATAGCACTAACTATTCAAACTAATTCAAATTAATATATTTTCCCGGTCAGTTTTAATATACAGGGTGATTTCCCAAGCACGCTCACCCTCTTTTTTCTTCAATAATGCAGTTATTCAAAACCTAATTTTCTTAATTTTTAAATATACTTTAAGACCATATTTTCAAACATTCTTGAGATTTGTTGTACTATAAAAAGCGTAAATTAATAATAAATCTAAAATTAATAAAGAATATTCTTAATTGAATAAAAAGCCTAAAATATTAAAAAATATAATACTAATAAAAAATCTAATTTATATAAAAATCTAAATTGAATAAAAAATATTCTTCATTACATTAAATGTCTAAATTAATAAATAAAAAAAAAATTGTACATTAATAAATTAACTAGATGATTACACAATGTGTAACAAAGTGGCATATATAATGACATGCGTTCTGTAATATATCATTTGTTTATAAATATATTTAAACAAAGATAAATAGATAATTATTAATCTTGAAACATTAAAATGTTAAATATCAATTGGAACAAAAGTTGCTACTTAGTTCATTACGTTAGTCAGTTATTTGTGTTAATCTTAAATATTATTATCTAATACGCTGATTTTTACAGAAAGCTTTAGACTTGGAAAAAAAACCAGAAGAAATCACAATCAGAGATCTAAGAGATTACATGTATTCGAACACGTCAGACCCATATGAAGAGAAACTGGTACCTACCACATCATTAAATCATTTTATAGATTTTGAGCGGAGCGTAATACTGCTTTCACAGTGATTTTAGTTTTTCGTTTTCAAGTTAACAACGACTTTAATTTTGTAAGGACTTAATTTTTGGTCCAACACGGTATTATGAGGACATTTTAAGACTTTAAAAATCGAATACAAAATTAACTATACAAACCTCATTTTTACCAAACCAAAACAGTAAAAAATAAAATCAAATACTTAATTTTTTAATTTTAGAGAGAGATGATCCTAAGAGGCTGACATAGTAAGTCGAGCTCTCTAGTTAATCGTTTTTAAATATTATAATTAATTATTGTTCCCTATATGATTTATAATAATTTAAATATTAATAACCTTTGACTGGGTTTTGCACAGAAATCGTCGAAAGCGCGAGAAGCATTTTTTTAAACGTGTGACTAAATCTCACTTGTATTTCTTCCATCCAATATAGTTTGACTGGCAATCGTTCATCGATCATTTTACCTTGGAATCCAATCACACATGGGGGATGGACGATATAGTGTTGGTCCGAAATAAGGAATATTTTTTGGAACTACAATGGAGATTAATAAACACTCCTCTAGAAGAAATTCGTAAGTCTTGTCTATGTTTTTTTTTCTTTTTTTGATAAAATTTGCTATTTAAAGTTTCAGCATGTCTTGAAATATAAAAACCAAACAATTATAAATATCACGTCAGCTTAGAAACGTAAACAAATGTACGTACCAAATACGCCATTTGATGTGACGTCGTTGAAATGTCATTAATTGGGGTAAAGGTTCTCATTCGACAATATAAAAAATATAGAAAAGGGTTTAAATTTTTTTTTTTTCGTAAAAAATAAAAATAAAAAAAACAATTCACGGACCCCGATAAAAAATTAATAGTATTTTCACTTTGCTCGACCAGTAAATGTGTTAAATCCGACAAACGTGAGAAGGAAATACATAGTTGAACATTGGCGTTCAATCGTTCTACTTCTGACCACTGAAGCCCCTGCAATTGTATACCGAGTTTTGGTTCACAATAATAACAATAATAATTGCAATAATATGTCTGTCAGTGATGATTACATTTGTAACAAAATATTTCAGAACAACTTCTTTGGTGGAAAATCGTGGAAACTTTAATTCCGCACACTACCACGGATATGGCAAACCTAAAATTGGCATTGAACGAGATCGTGGTACCGTCGGCGATAAGAATTACCCGGTATTTAATGCTCACACTTTTTCCGAAATATATTTTAATCAACCCGCCAAAAACGCACTCACCCATATCGTTTACCTTAGACCAGAATTTTGTACCGCAGTTACCAGAGCTTTCGTCAAGGGCCCAATCGCCTACGAGTTCTACGTTCGAGACGACTTGAAAGTCACTACGGAGAAGGTGACTATATTTGCATTATTATACGTAGGCATTGATCGATGGAATCGAGGCGGTTCTTGATGGCGTTTATTTGTCCAATAAGATCCGGATGATGATCAATCAACTGCAAGGTGCGTTCAGTGACATGATCAGTGAATCCGATTGGACGGACGAGCAAACAAAACAGGTGGCCACCCTAAAGGTGGACGCCATGAGAATCGGAGTCGGTTATCCGAAAATATTTGAAACGCCGGACGAACTGGACGCAAACTACAACTACGTAAGAATACTTTAAATAATATATTATAATATTATGATAAATAAATGTGATGAGGGAGGCCAGTTAGTGTTGCAAAACACCTCAGGAAACAATATGCATGAATTTACGTCCTGAAAAATTAACTTGAAAGTACTATCCTCGAGAAATATACAAAAACCTAGGTTAAAAGTATAACCTTTTTTTAAAGTACAATCACTCCGCAGCCTGTGTCAGTATAAAATATTAAATTTTTCGACGAAATGTTTCGTGGATACGTTTTACGAAAAACGAGAATAATGTACAATAATAGTTAAAAAATATATTAGAAAATAATTTGCTCACAAACAAGTACCGTTGTATGAATGTATGATAAGTAGGGTTCGGGACTGATTGCATTTGCATTTTGTTTAACAATGACTGCAGAATAGCTTTAGTAACATAATATAAATTAAAGTCATGATGAGTCATGATGACGGAATGACGAACAAAAATTTTAATTGCAATATTCCCTCATTTTTCGCCGTTTTAAGGGCAAAACGCATATTTGAGAAATATTGGCAATTTAATTAGTATTATTATAGCAAATTTACTCAGTTTTCGTTTTATTTTGAGTAAATTTATTTTGAAGGTTAACATTATTTTTTTTACTTTCATGCATCGGTCAATATACTGAATCATAGAACGAGGCAGAACAGGGAAATTACGGAAATACCTAATTATTCTCGAGTATACTATCGGTTAGGTTATCGACTTGTCGTTTATAGTGTAATTGTTGTCAAAAAATAACTAATTAAAAAAAATTGTGTAAATTAAAATGAATAAATTAAACTTTTTAGTTGCCATTAAAACATTGTTGCATATTCAGTCGCATATTTCGATTATTGTAGGTGCACATATGTGCATGCATATTTCCTAGAATTTGTGTGCAATAAGTCGCGAACCCTAAAGATAAGTGTATAAGAAATATCGTTTAACTTATATTTTCCACCTGTTGTAACCATAACTCACAACAACTGTTATGGGACAACATTATTGTATAGACGACCGAGTTATGATCGATTTATTTTGATAGTACTTCTCCGTCCCCCCAACCACACGCTACCATCCACGACAATACTCTTATCGTTGCACGTCAGTTTAAACTATATTTATAGAAATCGTTGTCTTAAAAATCTTAGCTATGGTGCAACGAGTGCACCCACTGCAACCATAACTGCAGCAGGCGTAGTCAGACTTACGTGAATCGCTGACATGGCGAACAGGTGGCGAAAGAGCATATTAAATTGTGACCGTATTATTATAGTGACTTCGAATACATCGATGTATATTTTAAACACAGTTATTGTACCTCTTACAATAAGTATTAAAACCCTGACGTTTATCGCTATAACCGTGTACTGCAGTCAATGATTCTACGAGTCACCCTGCGGAGTTACTTTCGTCAAAAAATAACGAATTTTCAAAATTAAAGCACGAATTTGCTTCGGCTGAAACAAAGTGGTGGTATAGTATAATATCAGTCTAAAGCATTCTTGAAAACGTTTGGGGAAAAAACACTATTTTTACGGCAAAAAATGTTGATCATTATCGCGTGACGACTGTGTGTGAAAATAACCAAAATAATCAAAATGTGTCGAATAACTTGATACAGTCAAAATAATATTTCTTAACAGATCCCATTTCTCAATTTATAACACGAAATTGAATAAGTTTATACCTCGAAACATATTGGCCACAATTTTTCAGTTTTTTCTCTTGGTCAATTTACTTTTGTACGCTTATCGTAGTACCCACTTTTTACCGTCCGTTTTGAGACTAGAAGCAGAATACAATATTTACTAACTATATTATGTTTTACGATATTTTCCGATCAGATCATCGTCGAAGACCCCCACTACCTTCAGACCATGTTGAACATTAGGTCCTACGAGATCGGTTTCGTACTGGGAAAGGTGGGAGAACCGGTAAAAATGGATGGTGCGAAGTCGTAAGTATACACGACACGACACACTATATCGTATATTATTATTTTCGATCATTTTATAAATTGAAAAATAATTATTGCGTTTCAAACTTTTCGACCGATCGACTATTTGTTGCAGAGTCACGACGGACCCGTTGGAAGTAAACGCGTATTACAATAGAATGGACAATTCCATCAGTGAGAATATTATTATCAACTTACTCTTAAGAGGACGCCACACCCGCATGTGCTGTCTCCGTCTTACAAATGTACAACATAGCAAAAACTGTTTAGCGCGGGACAAATTTTCTCGCACCATATTTGTTGTAGAATTACCGAATTTTCACAACACGTAAAGAAGAACTCTATATGTGCAACAGCGTGCTTTTTTTTTTAACTACACTTTCCAATCATTTTTTATAAGCAAATGAAAAAAAAAAAACAAAAAACAAAATGTTTAGAAGCAAATAACTTTTATTGTATTTATGTTATCTAAAATAAAGGCACGCTGTTGCATAGATAATTTTCTACTCGATATGTTCAGAAGTTTTGGAGCCACTACTACAAACACAGAAAGGTAAAAGTTGTCCCGCGCAAAACAGTTTTTGCTATGTTGTTCCTCTGTAAGACAACACATGCGGATTTGGCGTCCTCTTAATATAAATAATATTTACAGTGTTCTACCTATGAGTACAGTGTCGCAAGAACTATTATTCACGAGGGTGGGCGAAACATAAAAAACCTAATCACCGTTACATTATCTGTTTGCCTGTGATCGATAACAGACAACGTTCAAATTTTTTTTTATGTCTATATAGTTAGTATATCATATAATTAGGTAATCCATATGAACCAAATAAATGTATTCATTTAATTATGTATAGAATAAATGCACTTGTATGGGTACTGAAACAAAACTGAAAACATATTAACTTTATGCCCGAAGTTATGTGTCCAAAAGTAACAATATTTAAATAAATAAATATAATAATATTATTACAATGATTAGCAACTTGGTAGGTACGTCTTAAGAACACTTTCCAATACTGGGGAAATCCCCAGTAATTTGATAGAGCTCTCCTAACAGATAATTTCTAGTTCTAAATTAAACGATATGACGTATTGTGTTATAATTATAATATTATTGCGCACGTACGTAAAAATGAGTCCAATTTTGAATACTCACGATTGTACACGTTTCAATTATAATGGGGAGGGGGGCAAAATTATACCTGTACCCCTTCTGAAGGGTCGATTGCTCCCTGTGCCAAAACCTTCTCCGACGCCACTACCCACAGGACGTGAAAAATATAATAATAATATATTATGTGATTGTTAATTTTTTTCCATGTTCGCCACCACGCAGACATTCCATCCGGAATTCTACAGATACCGTTTTTCAACAAGGGTGTCGAGTAAGTCGAGACCAGTCCGATGACATATTATAATTTTTTAGATCTCTCAAAAACTAAATTATATTTTAATACAAAATTATTGTGTTTCGTTTTTCCGTATGATTTGCCTTATACTATGGATGACTATTATACCACTCGTCGCTGCAGTGTCGTAAACTACGGCGCCATCGGTTCGATCCTCGGACACGAAATCTCACACGGATTCGACATCGAAGGTATGAGCACATTTACTATCGATACTTCCGTATGGTTCCGGTTATTTTAACAGGCGGAACTGGATTGATGGATTAGAGGGGGTGAAAAATGAAAATCAACGGCGCCAGCTCGGAGCTGGGTTTTCATTAGGGGGTGGTTTTATTATTTAAAACAAAATTAACCGCCCCGGTGTATCGTTAACTGTTCTGATTTATTCAGTTTTATCCCCGTGCTTGTGACTCGATTTAAAGGATCCCGTCAACAAAGAGATAACAACCAATTTGAAGTGTTTTGTTCTTCTAAATTTTAAATACCAAAGAAAAATAGAATATTACAATTATGAATGCATCACATGACTTAAAAATAGCAATATATTTTTTTTAAATGGGATTTCGATATTATATTGTAATAAACTAATAACACATCGGCTCTCCGAGACTCAAATCCACGGACCCAGCGCTCCGTCACAGCATTAATAATATACTGTTATAATATTATATTATTAACATATTACGTCGTCGTTGTTTAGGTAAAGACTACGATATCCACGGCCATAAGACGTCGCAGTGGTCTCCAAACACGGTGAGAGAGTACTTGACCCGGGCGCAGTGCTTCGTCGAACAGTACGATCAGTTCATGTTGAACTCAAACACCAGAGTGAGCACTATATCATATTTCAGTAGACATCGGGTTGGGGGAGGGGGGGGGGTGCTTCTAGGGCTGTAGATCCACAGAAAAGTTAAGAAAATTTAAAAATTATTTCTATGGTCCTCGAAAGTGACTTCAAATACAAAACGTACGTATCGATTGCATTCTACCTGGGAATCATGAGCGATAAATATGCGACTAGTACACTCTCACAGATAACGCATCTCAGTGAGAGACTCGTCGTTAATATTTGTGGTTCGGACTGTTTACACGGGCGAGATGGGCTATGGCTCATAGTATATGATCTGAGGGTTTATCAAAAGAGACGCTTTAAAAGTTGTTGCGATAATTTTATACTATTTGCCGAACCGAAACGTCAAGACAATGAAGGCGTGTGTTTAACGCAAAGAACAACAATAATATTACCATCGTTTTTATGAGGGCATTTGACGTAATACCTACCTTGAATATCATTACGATAAAACAATAAAATTGAGTGCCGCGTAGTTCATATTATTATGCTTTAGTGATCCATCGTCAATGCGGTACGTACATAGGGAAATATTTAAGCAACATAAATTTTTTGGGGGAGGGGGATGCCGACGCTTACGTGTCCTGTCTGTACAAAATGGTAGTTGTTACCGTTATCAGTTTACCGCATTATTGCAATATCGGTCGTCCTGATTTTTTTCAGCTAAATGGCACGCACACTTTGGCCGAAAACATGGCCGACAACGTGGGACTGAAGCAGTCGTGGAAGGCGTACAAATCGCATAACATCGGCGGGGAATCCCGTCTATCGGGGCTCACCGAGTACTCCAACGACCAGCTGTTCTTTTTGTCCTACGCAAACGTGAGTGACCCAGAAAAGAATTTGTGCGACGACCGATCTGTCCGATCGGATCAATCGCATTCCTAAATTCCTACACGGTTTCCACTCAGTCTTTCATAAGCAATCACTCTTATTGTTAGTCATTTATTTTTGATCTCCTCTCCCGTCGGTCTAAAAATACAACGACCAAAAAGTTTTACAGTAAATCGGCCGATCGGACGAAGACAGATAGTATCACAGCCGTCAAAATTTACAGTTTTCTTAAACCTCTAAAATTGTCCTAAAACACTCCGTATTGTATAGTCCGCCAAAGTTAGAAGTGATGATTAGTGTTCGTCATATCATTGAGGAATCCGCAGGTGGAGCGTCGGTTACTGTGATGGAACGCTTTATTTTATGGACAGAAGCTAAAATATTATAATATTTGATATCTGCGAATTTGTGTTCTTAGAATTTCTGGGTATTCTTATTCTTATCATTCGATCACCAGGGCGTGTTTACTGATTATCACTTATTTTTGGTTTTCCTGTTTGAACACAAAAAAAAAAATCGTAAGATAATAATTTTTAATTTACAAAGGGTCAACTCTAGTAAAAACAGTGCATTAAGCAAAATCATATTTTGCAGTCCCTAAAATAATAATATTATTACTGTTTTGAAAATGCCACCCTATAAGCGTGGGCCTATTTCACCTATCCTTTGAGATACGAGATTCTAGATGACACGCATTCTGTGTATTTCAAATAAATAAATCACGACAACGCGGCGTTTTGGATAGGCAATTTAGCTACACCCGCGTGGCGGTTGAACGTTTCTCCCGTTTCGTAATAACTGATAACAATAATAGTATAAAACAATCATAAGTCATAACAGATAATAATATGTTATATCGTCAAAACTCTTCAGAGCACTCAAAATATAATAATACGATTACGATGCTCAATTAATGTCGGACGAAACTATAATAATATTATGAACAGTCGATTACGTATGTCCGCGTGAAATATCACGCGAAACGTGTCATCGATAACGATAATAATATTGTAAATGACGTATTATTAATGTCAAGTGTCGTACTACTGCTATACAGGTGTGGTGCCAAAATCCGGAAGACGAGAATTCCGAACAAATTGACCCACTCAGAAACGACGAGCACAGCCCCAGCGCCATCCGGGTGATAGGGTCGCTGAGAAACAGTGCCGAGTTCGCGGACGTCTGGAAATGTCCGGTCGGAAGTCCCATGAACCCTTCCAAGAAGTGCTCCATGTGGTGAACGCCAAATACAACGCCATCGACGTCCAAAACCGTTTGCTCGGTGCTCGACGATTTTTACAATTATTATTATTATTATTACTATTATCATTGTTTAATAAATGTTATTTATGTTGTTGTCATTATTTTCATCGTTCAGCTCCGTACACAACAGACGATAATCTATAGTTGTTGTTCGTTTTGTGCAGTGAAAGTGATAACGCTATAAAAATGTATTATGTAATATAAGTCTGTATTCTCGTCATCTGCAGAGGTCGTTCGCGTTCGTAATGTATAACAATATCGTGACGATAAGAATATAATATTAAATACCAATTGAAAATTGTTTTTCCTCCTCAATTCTAACCCCAACGGTGATTGCTGCTCAACGTTTAGGCGCTTTTTCAGTGCGTACGAATCACGGCAAACCTATATTATCTAAGTTCAAAATAGATGATTGTTGGATTTGTTGTACAATAATACTATGCAGCATTCCAAGATCTACGCAAATCAATACAAGACTATGGTGTACATAAAACAATGTTTTAGGAGATTTCGTTTTACCAAATTGCTAATATTATTATAGTGATCAAAGTGTAAATTGAAAAAATGACGTTAATGACAGGATATTCAATTTACACTGGTTTCTAAAAATAGACAACGGAGGTGTAGAAGAAAAGCTTTTGTGAGTTCAGTTTCATTCAAATCGCTTTCTTTTAAGAAATTTAAATTTGGCGAACGGTCTGCAAATTAAGTGCAAAAATAATAAAACTTTTGGAACTTTGAAAATTCAAATTTTTAGTTAAAACGGGTTTACGCACCGTCCGACGGATCCAATATTTTACGTAGTTCATTTGTGTATGCATTATATTATATTACAATGTTTCAGAGGGAGAGATGAAAAAAAAAGTAACTTGAAATTTTAGAACCACCCAAGTTGTATAAGTGTTGAATTAAAAAACCAAATTTCGGTATGCTACTATGGTGTGTTTGTAATTCGAAAGCACATTCAAAAAATTAATCTGTGATAATACAGCATTTGGTAATTAGACAACAAATTTTAATGTTTATTTAGGTACTATACATTTTAGAGTTTAGAACTTTAGACCAAATCATGAAATAATCGCAACTTTTTACTTAGGTTAGGTTACCGTAGAATTGCCAAATTACATTACCCATATTATGATGGGTAGACGGGGTTTCGTTTTGAAAACGGATTTTTAATTTTTAATTAATTTTAATGTTAAATATTATGTTCCTACAAAGTTATTACTTTTTATTCTCATCACTGTTAATTTCATATAAAATATATAAACTAATATATCCAAAATATTCAGTTAAAAAAAACAAATATTTGAATTTTTTAAGTGTTAAAACATAGGTAGGACACGTCTTGTGAGATGATAAATCAAAATCTGTTAAAAAAATATATTATAAATATCCTTTAAGCCAATATGGCAAAGTCTATAAAGTCACATTTACGTTTAATTGTATTCAATATTATTTCTTAAATCTATATAATTTGTTGTATACAATATTGTATACAACTTAATACTATTGTATCCAATTCATAAAACTCAAAAATGCACTAAAAAATGTAATGCCAAGTAAAAATAACTATTGTAAAAGAGTTCTACGACTAGTTTAAGTCAAAGGTATTTTTTCAATTTTTTATAATCTAAAATTGTACTCTAATCCTATGAGGATCAACATTTTCTAGTAGGTAATCACGATGTAGGTGCACCCGATCCTTTCTAATTTAATTCCATCCTCGGCTTAACAAAATGGCCAAAATATTATGCTCCGACAGCAGTTGTCATTTTCTTTTTTTTCAAAACACACAATCAGTGTTACCTTAATATTCATCTAATACGATTTCATCTCCACTATTATCAAAGAAAAAACGATAATACAGTTGTACTTGTAGGGAATGTATAAACCAGACGAATTGTTAGGCATTTAATTTAGTGGTAAAATAATGTACGCACCTATATAGACTGTAACTCGATAAACAATTAAAAAAATATAATTTGTACAATGTGTGACCTTGGCCGACATCGAACGGCGATTCAAAACTGTCTGACACGGACGGGCTAATATCAATGCAAATATTCTTAGCAGCAATTCAATTCTACGAGATCGTTAAAGTTTATTATCATTAGTAGGTACACCTTAAAATGTGTCATAAAAATTGTATGAACGTAGTTGCCTACCTTCCCATAAAATGTCCGACAGAATCAATCACTTGCTTTCGAGTGCTTGTTAAAATTTTCGTCGACCTCGACCCACTTTTATTTTTATTTATTAAACCTAGTGGATGAGCACATGAGTATAGGTAATACGAAAGATAGCGAATGACGTGAAATCGATGAAAACATTTAAATCGAAACACGAAAAACATTTTATCTCCGTCGCAGGTCTTGTTGTCGAAGTTCCGCGAAGGGTTTTGCTTAGTTTTTTTAATTTTTAATCAATTAAAAATAATATCATTACACAGGAAGCTGCATTGTCTTTTCGAGTACACAAACGACCGGAAAGGTACGGATAATGTTACGACGCGAAATAATACAAAAACGTAACTGTACATTTTGGTATATTTTTCTTAAACCTATTGAACAGATTATACTTAATAAATTAAATAGTTTCTACTCTAAATGGTAATTACAGATAGTTATTAAAATATATTTATATATATATATATATATTATGTATAGTAACTAGAGTAAACAAAAAAAAAAAAAAAAACAAAAAAAGAACAATAGGTAGGTACATTGTCTTGAACCCGATATATATATATATATATATATATAAAGAGAATTTCCAAAAATATATGTCTGTACATTGAGCGTTTAAACAATAGTATTACGCATATATATATATATATAGTATTACACTTGAGGAAAATAAAATAATGTTACAAAAAAACCGAAACTACGATAGTAACGTACATATACAAGTATATTTATATATTGTAATATAATATTATGTATATATACTTAATTCGGTTTTAGAGTGCGAGCAACCAAAAATGCCGTTCGCACAAAGTATTTATAAATTATCACATAAATATTTTTATTTTTTCAATATATATTTCAAAACGAAACTTCTATTTCCAACTCCTTCTCGTCTTTTCTCCTCTTCATCAACTCCTTAATCATCTTCTTCTTATTCTTCTCCTTCATCGTCGTCGTCTTCTCAAAGAATTATCTCTTTCTTTCTTAAAATATACAATTATTCAGCCTTCGTACGAAAAAAAAAAAAAAACGACAACAACAACAACAGTTCATCGGAATGTCGTGTTACACGCTGTACGTTCCGAGGGGAAGACATATAATAATAATATCGCGATAGTTATATTTAGGTTTTCTTTCTATTTCGTTGTTTTCTTTTTTTTCATTGACATGGCACTCATAAACTTATACTTAAAAATTGGGACTGGGATGGGGTTGGGGTTGAGACGGGGTCGGGATGGGGTTGGGTCGGGGAACGAACGTAGGATGAAATGAAGTCGGCGCCCTGCAGGCTGCGCGTGGACGACGTGGTTATGCTATTGCTTGTTGACGATTTCTGGTAAAGCTCAAAAACACCTGTGGAACACACGACTCGGTTATTACATATATCATTATAATTATTTTTTTGGTGTTTTTTTTTTTTTGTTCAGACCACAACAAAAAAGATATTATTGGTCTTTCGATATAGTATTTCAATGGAAAAAGTATATAACTTTATTTTTACATTATTAACAACAAAAAAACATAGGAGAGGACAGACTGAAGTGTACAAAGCAATTCGTCCACTCGAGATCGGTCAGTCCACTTTTCTAAATTTTACCCTACACTCCTCCCAATTTTTAAATTGCCTGATTTTTTTATGGATATAAACTTAATAAATAAGTAAAAAATAATACAAAATCTAAGTTACGTTAATTTATAAATAATTAATTAATAAATATAATGATATTATTATTGATGATGCAATCTGACAAACATTCACTTTCTTTATTTAATATCATATTACTGGAAATGTATATATATATATAAATAATGAATCAACTTAACTCAAGTTTTTAAGCTAACTTTAAGTTTCCGTACTACTTTGAATTGAAATGAGTTTAAAAAAAGTTAGAATAACTATAAACATTTAAAAATTATCGTTGACTCTCCCAGGTTTGTGGCTGCCGCCAATCCCTTGAAATCGGATTGTACAATTTTGATATTTTTAGGAAATTGAAGACCGATCGTCACACAGTTATTGATGTAGTGATTATTATAATGATTAGAATTTTTAAAAATTAAGTAATCATAACAATACGATTATTTTTATACTAGACAGTCGTTGCCGCGGTGGTGGTACCGAAGCGGACACACGATCGACGTGTAAAGACCAACATAGAACTGGAGGAATTGATAATATTGGCGGGAGCGGAACAAAATTCCGGAAACGGTTGTTGTGGTACATACCTGTTCTAGACTAGTCTGTGTTATCGAATAATCGTCGATCAGCAGCTCTTTCTTGGCCTGTTCCATTTGAGCGAAAGCGTACGAACACGGATACTTCTTGGGAATGTGGAACAGCGCCGTGATTTCGAATTCCTCGCGTAAGTTGGCGCCTGAAACGACGTTCACAATGTTATTATTAATGGTTGTCATTTTTAGTTTTCATCGTTCGTGTGTGGTTACCCGTGTAGGTATGTGTGTGTTATGAGCAAACAGTCGTGACCGTCGTAGAAAACGACTTTTCCGACGCGACCGATTATTAATGACATTGCGCTATCAACCGTAAGTAAAAAATAATGTCAAACGGAGTTTTTCGTGGAAAACCAACCACCGAAGGTTAGGTCGTCGGACCGACGATGTTTTTTTCGGCCGACATCTGCGGTATTCCTACGCAGTTTTTTTTTTTTTAATTTTCCGTCGGCTTTTAGTGTGTTTAAAAAAAATAAATGTTTTTGAATATTTAAAACTCAACGTTACGTTGTTTATGAAATATCTAATATTTATGGGTTTTCGAATATTATTAACTTAAAAGTATTTTCGTTTACATGATCGAACAGAATATTTTTTCAAACTTTATCGGAGCTGTGTCGTAAGCGAAACAACGCACAGAGCATTTACAATTTTATTTACACACATATTCGTCTATTATTTTATATAGATAATAACAGAAATCAAGAAAACAACGACGATATTATCTCTAGAGAATGAAATCTGAATTATGTAGTCCGTTAGCCGAACGAGGCTATTGTATAATCAATATTTTTATTAATT